CTCCTTTTCAGCAGCATTCAAAAGATGAATAAGTAAATATGAAGGAATATATATATTTACGACTAACATAAACTTGTGTTAATATCATGGCTTATAAAAAAGTAGATAAGGTCACTTGATCACCTTTGTCAGTAGCCAAATAGCAAATAATGATTCGCAGTAGCACTGAATTATATGAGTGAATTATATCAATGAAAAGATATATTTTCATCATACCTCATTAACAATCTTGAATTGGCTTGTCTGTGGTGATGTCAGTGTTGATGAATATATTCTCAAAAGACAACCCATGGGTTTTATGGGGTTACTACAGTGAAACAGTATCCATGTCTTTGCTCTGTGTGCTATATTTAAGAGTACTGAAAGAATAAGACTGTTAAGCAAAGAGTTACTGTTAATATAACATTTTACAATATTGAATTCTTTTTTACAGATCAAACCAGTTTACAGTGAGAATGTCAAGAGACACTTATGCACACTTGAAACGGTACCTGACTGAGCGTGGAGGAGGACCCGTTGCAAGAATCATACATGACAGGCTGTACCTGGATGTTTATGAAGGAGTTCCTCGGACAAGAGCACAGGTTGGAGCAACGGCAGGAGCTCAGGAAGGAGAAGCACCCAAACAGGGTCAGTATTTGAAATATAAAGTGAGGTAAAAATATTAGTAGATCATGTATATATATAAAGATTCTTGGTTCTGAATGGTCTGTAAAAGGTTTCCTTTTTGGCAGTTCCCATTTATGGAAAAAAGTATATTATAGCCATTTATATTGACTTATTCTTATTTTATTTTAGTCAACAAGACCAAAATCTATTACGGACTCCTGAAAGAGCCAGAGCTGCCAAACTTAGCAATGGAGGAAGAGGAGGGTGAAGAAGAGGGAGATAAGCCAAAAAAAAAGAAGCCAAAGAAAGATGCCCTTCAGAAGAGCAAGAAAAATGATCCAAATGCACCACCTACCTACAGAATACCCTTGCCAGAACTGTAAGAATAATGGTGTAATGTATATTTGCCCCAGAAATCTTTTTTCTTATCACTTTCATCAATTTCCTTTTGCTATAGAACACATTCTTAATGGTAAGATGACCATATGTCCTTTGAATCAGTGTAGACTATATTACATTTGTGTAATGTGGGGAAACTTTTTTTATTCCCTCACATATTGATTGATGTTGCTGTTGAAATTTAAGATTAAAGAGGAACTTCAACAGATTCTTAAAATAAGAGTTATGAAGTCATTTAACCCATTCGCGCCGGGTGTCACTTATAGATGCTACACTTGTTGCGAGTACTGCCTGTTTCGCCCGTTTACCCTTCTCTTTAATTTACAAAATATTTTACGATATCTTATTTTGCTGTTACTAGTGTTTATAACATTATAGTAATTATAATGTTTATAATAAAAGTAACCATCAATATTCATAGCACTAGTAAAAAATAAATTTTCCCGCCAAATGTAATCAGGTAAGGCAGAGCCATCTGTGTAGAGGAATTTCACAAAAAGTATAAAAAATGAGCACAGTATTTTCCCCATTTTTTTGTTCATTTTTACCTGTTGCGAATGGGTTAAAATCTTATCAATCAACCATATTAATTTTGCTGTATTTATTTATTTTTTAGGCGTGATATTGATCGAATTGAAAAAGCCAAAGCATTCAGAGATACAGTAAAGAGAGTCACACTAAACAGAGAGACTCTACCATCTATATGCTTCTATACATTTTTGAATGCTACAGGGAAGTAAGTAATAGTATAAATGCAAAGTATTACTTACTGTTAAAGTATTTTGATTGGAGAAAGTCTGATTTATCTGTTTTAATTTATATAACTTTTGATGTTTTGTGGCAAAAGGTTTCACGGACTTTGTTTTTTCAGCATAACAGGGGTTGATATATCGGATGATTCAAGCTTGCTAGCCTATGGTACAGCTGATTCTCAAGTTCGTGTACAAAGCATCACACCAAGCAAATTAAGATGCATGAAGTCTGCAGAACAACTGAATGACATTGACAAAGATGCCGGTATGTACAAGTTAATTAAACTAACTTTATTAAAGATTTTTTTTGTATATTGTAGAAAAATTTTAGAAGATTTACAGAATGTTAGGAAAATTTAAACTTGTTTTCTTCCAGATGACGTCTTGGTACGTATGATGGATGAAAGAACTGCAGATTACGTCCGCACTCTCCTTGGACATTCAGGCCCAGTTTATGCATGCTCCTTTAGTCCAGACCGTAATCTCTTGTTGACAGCAGGAGAAGATGGTACTAGTAAGTATTTCTTCTATTGAAAAAAAGACCATATTTTATTGAACCAGGCCTATTTGATTTTATGCAAAGATACAATTTGATAATTTTAACTCGGTGCTGACAGTTAAACATTTTTATTTAGCTTATCCAGTGTTTGATTCAGTGTTAGCATGTGTCAATAGTTTCAGTGAATGGGAACTGCTAAATGAATTTTTAGCTACCAAAGAATGTATTTAACCCATTTGCCCCTGATTAACCCAATGGCTCGCCGCGCTTTGGCGTGCCGCTGGCTCGTTTGGCTGCACGCCAGCTTTCGAGCTCTTTGTTTACACGCCAATCGGCGTCACCCGGCACGAAGGGGTTAAGGTTCTTTCCCCTGTATTTTTTTGTGAATGTTGTTACATACAGAGGGCTCCACATGTGCTCAGCCAGCAAGGAGTCTATCAGTAGCCCTAGTGACCAATCCTGATTTCCCCAGTCCTTGAATTGGCAAGAAAATGTGTTTTTCTTGTTAAAACAGCTGATATTGATACTGTTATTATTGTTATTGATATTATGATTATTAAATTGTTATTAACCCAATGGTGATGGGTGAAGAAAGAAAGAAAAAAAAACTCTACGCTCTGGCAAACTGGTGGCACGCCAACTTTGAGCGCATGAGTTTGGTACATGAGCCTGAGCCTGAATCGCTGGCTCGCCGCGCTTTCGAGCAGTTTGTTTTCACACCTATTGGCGTCACCCATCGGGAAGGGGTTAAAATCTCGATAAGATTTAAGACAATGAAATAATGCAAAAGACACGTTCCAAGAGTCAAGAAAAAGGGTAAACAGGTGAGATAAGTAGGACTAATAACTGACTCCATGGTGACTAAGCACTTGTAGAGCCATCTATGTGTAAATACATAAACTTGTATTAGTGGGCATTGCATCTATTCTTGCCATATGGGGAGATTGGGACAGAAGTTATTAAATAACTTGCTGTGTATATTTATATATATATGCTTTTGATTTTTCATTTCAGTTCGCTTATGGAGCTTGCAGACCTGGACCTGTCTTGTTGTGTACAAGGGTCATGTTTTTGCTGTATGGGATGTGAGATTTTCTCCCTATGGCTATTACTTTGCATCAGGAGGTCATGATCGGACTGGCCGTTTATGGGCAACAGATCATCATCAGCCTTTAAGAATTTTTGCAGGACATTTTTCAGATGTTGATGTAAGTTCCAAGAAAAATCAAAGTAAATGTTTAGTAAATTCAAGCACTCTTGTAGAGGGAAAAATAAAAGGTCAAATTGGAGCAATAGATATTTGTTCATTTATTTATATATATATATTTTTTTTAGAATGGGTACATTGCGTCATTCATTTCAGAATCATACACTACATCTATCCTTGTTCCCTTTCCACTGCATAGCATTAATTTGGATTAATTTTTCCACAGGTTGTTCAGTTCCACCCAAACAGCAATTATGTTGCTTCTGGTTCTAGCGATCGCAGCATCAGACTTTGGGATGTTCTCAATGGAAATTGTGTTCGTGTTCTAACAGGCCACAAGGTAATTACATTTTAAACATTTTCTATTTAGGAGTAAATATTAGAATAGTCTTTCTGAGTATCTTTTATTGAGGAAATGTTCAAAGTACAAGTAGGCAAGAGGGAATACTTAGAAAAGAAACTCAAGTGTTTCATACACAAATGTAGGAGGACAAGGTGGCAGAAACTTGGACATATACAAAATTTCTAATTTGAGAAATAGGAAACAGTATATTGCTACAAGGGTGATAATTTGCTAATTGATGTAGTGTGTGAAAAGATGCTGGAATATAGGAGATGAAAGTGAGGGAAAGAAATGTTCAAGGATTGTTGATATGGTCAGAGGTGTTATCTATATGTAGCTAATGACCAGCTCACGAAAAGGGAAGGAAAGAAATATAGAGAAGGAAATCAAGGGGGGGGGGGGGGGGGGCACTACAACAGAAAGATTATCCATTCAACTTATTGACTGATTTAATTTTTCAGGATGTTATTGATGCCTTAGCATTTTCACCATGTGGGAGGTTTCTGGCTTCTGGTGGTGGAGACAAGCGTGTTTTAGTATGGGATCTAGCAAATGGGCATCTTATTGCTGAAATGCTGTCTCATACATCAACAATCTACACAATTTCTTTCTCAAGAGATTGTAATATGCTTGCTTCAGGTTAGTACTCTACGTTAATTTTATTTTTATTTACATCTGCAATAGAGAACATCATACACATACCAAAAAAAAAATAATAATAATAATAAAATTTTGAAAACTAATTGCCCTGCCTTCAGGTGGACTGGACAACTGCGTAAAGCTGTGGGACTTCACACGTGTTCTAGAAGACAATCACGAGGAGGATGTCAGTGTATCTCACAATCCTGAAGTTAAACGGAGTGAATCCTTGCTCTTGGGGACATTCCCAACGAAAAATACACCAGTGCTTGCAACACACTTTACCAGAAGAAATGTTTTGTTGGCTGCTGGACCATTTGAGGGATGAAAGATTGTTATTTATAGTGTAGAGATGTGTATATTTTTTATCAACCTAAATGAACCATAGATGTCAGAAACACTGAACATTCAAGTACAACCAAAATTCTGTAAAGTGTTTGCAATAAAAGAGTAATCTAATTTGATAATTTTATTATTTATAATAGGTACTTTAACTGTACAAGATTGCAGTCTGACTTTGGGGTTCAGAGTGTACACATAAAGATGATCAGTTGTGCCTGGCTTGACTTTTGCAGAATTGCAGGGATGAAAAGATTTATTAGTGTAGAGATGTGTATATTTTTTATCAACCTAAATGAACCATAGATGTCAGAAACACTGAACATTCAAGTACAACCAAAATTCTGTAAAGTGTTTGCAATAAAAGAGTAATCTAATTTGATAATTTTATTATTTATAATAGGTACTTTAACTGTACAAGATTGCAGTCTGACTTTGGGGTTCAGAGTGTACACATAAAGATGATCAGTTGTGCCTGGCTTGACTTTTGCAGATAATTTCCCAAGTGGTTGCCACACATCAATCAAGCACAAGAACATTTGCAATTCCAAGCACAACTGAGCAGAGCAAGTTTGACATGCCAATCAACTTTGACCTTAACAAAAATATCAATGAGGTTATCTTCAGTAAAAAAAGAAAAAAGAAAAAAAAAAGATTTATAATAAAAAAAAAATATGGAAAGACAAACCTCATCGACTAGTTGCACAAGGATCACGAATGCTGGTGTTACCAAATATCGATGGGTTAAATGCCTCACAATGGTCGTGCCAGGTGACCTACAGTCTGACCATCAAGTCAGAAGAGCATGCTTTTAATAAGCTTGTAAAATTATATACTTTGAGTAGCATTGTATAAGATGAAAATTATACCTATATTTCTAATACAATACTGAGGGCTCTTACAAAATATTCTGAAGATAAAAACATGAAACTGCAAGAATGATATTTTTAATGGCACACCACAGCTAGGCATTTTTGTTCATTACAGCACATAGTTAATTGGCCAGTTAGCATCATGTACCAAGATGCAAAAGGGATAATTGGCCATTAGCATCATCATGTACCAGGATGCAAAGGGGGTATGAAGGGCAGTCAGATTAGACTTGGGCACTAATTGAAGCAAGCCACTTTGATATGCAGTTATAATAAAAATTTTCTCGAATGTTTTCACTGGGTTAATACATACATCCTGCCAGACATAAAGGGCTTCTAAAAGGCAGTTGCCCTATCAGACACTTAAACATGATAATCCTAATTTGACTATTTGGCTGCTAACTATCCATCTAGCTACCCAAGTCTAATCCTGCCCATTATTTGACATTAAACAAAAAACAAAACAAAAATTTACAAGTGACATAGAAATTCTTCCCTACTTTATAAAAAGAAACTTAAATAGATAATATACATTATTATCACATGGCCAATCATGGTCAAGCATTAGATGGGACTGGACTTTTAAATGTGATGCTTTACCATGAACAAAAATGCAGTGAGTCCTGAACGCTCACTGTTCCATGTATGACCATGTTAGCTTTAAATCAACAGTGGTGACGACTCACACTTTACGTTCTCCTCGTTAGACTGATGGTTGGAGTTATGGGTAGTGAACCTGATACACATGACATGCAGTCAATATACTGTACAACACTTAACTACCATTCCATATATTACTGATAAGCCTTTATTAACATGACATTCTTCTCTCCTTCCACTTTGGTGAGCAGATTTTAGCGCTGGGGCATAAGATCTCACAATACATGACTTTTGTGAGAATGCAAGATAAACCACTCTAACCACATTGTGAACCTATTGTGTCCATGATTTTTTTTTTTTGTTTTCTTAAAAATGTCTAACACTTAATATTTGCAAGATGGGTGGGTTAGGGAATATTAGCTACAAGAATCGATAAATAATGGGAATGACAATACAGTGTGCAACTGAAACCAATAACAAATGAATCAAGTTATAAAATTACAATAAACTTAAAAGATTTACAAGCTCTTAACAAGAGGTACCCTCTTGGTAAATTGTCTTACTGCCAAGAAGCCTAAGAGGATCCTCATGTGATTCAAAGATGCACAAATTAATTACCTTTTGGATTTTTTTTATACAAATTAATCCCACACGTATTAATGAGTACCAGTTAAATGTGGTATTCCTATTTCAAAACCTGACACATAAGAAATAACAAAAGGGTGACTAAGTTTCCATCATCTGTTAAATTTTCTAAAAGTTGAGACCCATGCAAAAATTTGAACCCAGGAATGATGCAATCTTCAAGTCCAATGGGGAAACGTGAGCTAACAGCAGCTGGATATCATAACTTACACTAGCATCACAATGTTCCACCTGAAACAAAAGAGAAAAACTATAAACATATGGCTTGTGATTATATTTTCTGTAAAAGAATGAATAAATAAATAAAAAGATTAAAACTTGCATGTTAAAGATCATAAATATCATGCAATTTAGCTTCAACTACAAATTTTAATTTCAAAGTATCCATATATGTTTCAGGTTCACATCTCTGAGAAATTCTTTCAACCAGACTGATATTTTTGATTCCTGAAAATCTAGTGCAAAGGGCAGAGCAAAATGGTATGATAGTCTAATAGAACAAAATCAACAAAGAGGCTCAAAACCAGGAAAGACACTACTACAAAAAAAAAAAAATCTAATAACTCCCAAATTTCTAAACACATCTCCCTACTTCAAATTTCATATTGGAAAGTAGACACAAAAATTTTCACCTTGTGCCCCACTGATTTACAGCTTGTTTTGTGTTATTCTGCTCCTATTTTTCTACTTGTCTGCCTTTTACTCATAACAGGGAGAGGATATGAGTAAGTGCACAAGTGACTGTGTATCTCTCTCAATACTGTATTTTATTCACTGTTTGTTTTCTCCATTGGCATTCTTTCCTCTCAACATAGTGCCAAGGAGTGGGCAGTGTAACTAAAATAGGAGTTGTCGGTCTGACTCTTCTCTGGAAAGAGAGCCCTTTTTAAAGTTAGTTTTTATCAGCCTTTGCTTTGTCCATGCTTTTGCATATGTAAAAGTTATGTGCCTCCCCTAGCAAATGACAGAGGTAATACAATTTAAAAAATATAAATCAAATCAATATTTGTACCAATATCCTCAGCTGTTATACAGATAATGTAACATATTTGTATAATTCAAATACAATGATCTCACACACACACACACTCACACACACACACACACTCACACACACACACACACACACACACACACACACACACGTGTGTGTTATATATTTATTTATATATATATATATATATATATATATATATATATATTATATATATATATATATATATATATATATATATATATACACACATACACATACACATACACATACACATACACATATATACATATATACATATATACATATATACATATATACATATATACATATACACTTATACACATACACATATACATACACATATACATACACATATACATACACATATACATACACATATACATACACATATACATACACATATACATACACATATACATATACATATACATACATACATATTGTCTTAATGGCAATGAGGTATCATAAATAACTAAATGAAGAGTTAGTGGATTATCAGTACAGAAAAAATGGGAAAAAGAAGCAAAGGCACTGAGAAACAAATTTGTCCTTCACATATTATCCATCACAATTCCTTCAACGAAACAACTTAAGAATGATTTTCACTCCTCTCCACATACACCCTCTCCCTCTCTCCCTCTCTCCCTCCCTCCCTCCCTCCCTCCCTCCCTCACTCACTCACTCACTCACTCACTCACTCACTCAGATCACACACACACACTCACTCAGATCACACACACACACTCACTCAGACCACACACACACACTCACTCAGACCACACACACACACACTCACTCAGACCACACACACACACTCACTCAGACCACACACACACACTCACTCAGACCACACACACACACTCACTCAGACCACACACACACACTCACTCAGATCACATACACACACACACACCAAATTGAAAAAAGTTATTTTCAATTAAAATCAGAAGATATTAACTGCAGCACAGATTTCAATCTTTAGTGATCACTATAATTTATTACTATTAACTACTGTTATTAATTAATAACAACAATAATTCTAAAATCAACTGAGAACAAAAGAAATGGAATACTTATTGACAGAATAGTCTTCAAATACTAGAACCTGGTCAATAATGACAAACAACAATAATAAAAATTATTATCATGATTACTTAAATAAAACTCACAAAATCTATAACTTGGTCAATGTTAAACTTTAAAATACAACTATGTTAACAGAGAGATATAGATAAAAAAGCAGTAAAACATGGTATCATTAGAAAATTCAGGATTAGTCTCTGATAAAAATATATATGGTGTTTGATCCACTATTAAATTTCCTAATGCTATCAAACTGAAATTTACTACTGATCAATTTTTTTTTCCAGAACTTTGAAACAGATGAATAACACAGACTGAATCATGCTATTTCCACGAACTAAAACAAGGAGTCAGGATATCCCCCCCCCCCCAACCAATGAAATCAGTGTCTGCCATTCTGTTACAGTTGCACTGACTAATGCTTATAGGATGCAACCATTTTTGAAATTCACAATGGAATATTAATATGTTCAAATACAAAGCACGTAAGACTGTTAAAGTAAATACAAACACAAAACAGGTGTTGGATACATCTAAGCAAAGAGAATTTAAACAACTAATGGAAGTGCAGTACTTTTAAGGAAATCATTTGTTCTTCATACACCACTAACAAACAGCAAACAGTGAATATCATCATTAACCCATTGGCGCCAGGGATGGCATGTACGTACATGCCATGCCCACTGTGAGTCGACTTGTTTGATTGTTTTTACACATAGATGGCTACACTTGTACTAAGTCACCAATGAGCCAATTACGAGTACCGCCTGTCTCGCCCGTTCATCCTTTTCATCGATTTACAAAAATATTTAACGTAATCCTAATTTGCTGTTAAAAATAACACCATCTATATTTATAGCACTAGTAAGAATACGTTTTTTCCCACCAATTCAAGGAAAGGT